CATGAAGTTCATTGAGATATCCTCCCAAACCTGGCTCGGTATAGGGAGGGTCTGTGGTAGACCCGCCGACAACTAAGTTTAATATTTTTTGTCCTTGGCAAATGCAACAGGTTGCCACATACTCTCCTACCTGTTTCCTTGTTCCAGTCCAGTAAAATAGAGAAGGAAGCTATTGGTAAGTTTGGAATACCCCTAAGTGTTCTGCTTGAGGTGATATACAAATCAAGGAGAATGGGAGTATGGGCCGAAGTGGGTGATAAAACTAACCAGCCTTTGGAGAAATGGCCTATACCCCTCACAGTGTAACTGGGTGTCTAGCTTGGGTCCTCGGCCATTTTTCTCTAATGCCTTGGAGCTGCCCATCTGTTGTTGGCTACTGCCTCTCTTTTAATCTCATCAATTACGGGATACATAGGCCTGTATACTAGCATCAGCCCAAGCTCTGGCTACCTGGACAAAACATCAGTTTCCTTATTGGAAAGCCCACTTCGATACTCTATCTGATAATTGTACCGTAATAGCTTAGAGATCATTTTTACTGCTCATCTGACAATGCCTTTCACTCTAGCAAGAATTTCAGTATTCAATGGTTAGTTCGTATGGTGAATATCTGGACCGCTAGGTATGAATGCCATTTCTGAATTGGTAAAACCACTACCATAAGCTCTTTTTTTTTCATAGACTGATTTGGAGAGAGCTTGAGTGGATAATGCCTTAGGAAAGAATGCCAATGACTTCCCTTCTTGCATGAGAACAACCCCGATTCTCATGCCAGAGGCATCACATTCTATTGTAAATTCCTTGGCTAAGCCAGGTAGAGCTAACGTTGGAGGTGAAGAATGAAGAGACATCCACCTTCAGATCTTTGAAAGCTTGTTGCACCATTGGGCCCTACTCAAAATCATCTTTTGTAATCTGTCACAGATACCTCATGTGAGGGGAAGAAATATAACAGAAGAGAAGAAAGGAGGAGAGAAGGGAAGAGAGAAGAAAAGAAGACAGCAGTAAGGGGTTGAATCTAGTTCATACAGAGAGAGGACCCCTCCGACCCCTTTTATATTAATAAATATTAAAATTACAGAAAGACCCCTGCACCTAAAACACATAACAAAAAACACCTTACAACACTCCCCCTCAAGTTGGGTTGTAGATATCATGCATACCCAACTTGTTACATAGCTCTAAATGGCTCAGGGAAGTCAAACCCTTTGTAAACACATCAACCACTTGTTCCCTAGACTCAATGAATGGTACACAAATTTCACCCCTTTCAACTCTTTCATGAATTAAGTGCTTGTCAATCTCAATATGTTTGGTTCTCTCATGTAGAACTGGATTGTGAGCAATGTTGATTGCAGCCTTGTAGTTGCAGTACAATGACATAGGATTTGAATCCCACACACCTAGCTCAGTGAGCAGATTTTTCAACCATAATAGTTCAGCAACTCCTTGAGACATAGCCCTATACTCCGCATCTGCACTTGACTTTGCAACCACAGACTGTTTTTTACTCCTCCAAGAGACCAAATTTCCTCCTACAAAGGTGCAATAACCAGTCTGCTGGACCTCAGTCTTGGGCCTGAGGTTCCTAGCTTCATCTGGGGTCCTAACAGGAACCCCAATGGGTCAACCATACTAATTCGGTTTATAAGCTTGTATTTCTACCAGATAGTGATTGATGAGGTTGCCTAATAGAACGATTACTATATGCCGAATCATTCCCTGTACAAATGTGGTATAGTACCAATCAGAACAAATTAAACTGATTGTATGGAATTTAATTTTTAGTTTATTACTGTAGAAAGAATTTCATGAGTTGGATGGTCATGGGTATGGTATCAGTTCGATGTTTGAGTTTGGATAAGCATCTGTGATGATCTTCTTGGTGACTAAAATATCATGTGGTATATCACCCTTAGATTCATATGAGCCATCAAACTTATATACAATAAAGTAGGCTTCATACCATGGCATAGAAAATAGGAATCCCTAATTTGTGATGGACACCATTTTTTAGATCTCAATAATAAGTTTGCCATCCTACTGAGAGTTCTTCTTTAGGGCCTTCTGCTTTGTGTATCAAATGGTCAAAGAGTGCCACGTTTTGGATTAACCCTTATACATCATATTACTTGGTGTGTGCAACATGCAAGTCCACAATGGCTTAAAACATATGACTTAATGCATTACATGGTTAATGGGTTGGGTCAGCTCAAGGTGCATTTGGATTTGGTTCTACTCATTTAATTTTATTTAAATGGGCAATTATTGGGTTGGCCAATTAGATGGATGAGTTGAAACTCAACCCAAAAACCCAATCCACCGAAACCTGTCCAATTGCCACCCCTATGAAGGACGGGAAGGAGAAAGTCATACTAGGGTGAATGCGGTGGGTAAGGAAGGGGAAGTAAGGATTTGACTTATGAGAGAAAGGGATTCACATTTGAATGGAGAAGAGAGAAGAAATGTTGCTCTATCAGAAGAAAAAGAGAGAAAGAATACCATACTTTTAGGTACAAATAACTTGAAAAAAACTTCCATTCCATTCATTTTATTAGAAAATTGCAATTAAAATGACTCTATTTAAAGACTCAACATATGGGATTGGATCTCTTTTTAGAAACAACTTCAAGTAGATAACCGATGCAAAACAATTTCAAAATGCTTCAAAACTATGACAACCCAATAGATAACATTCTGAACATTTTGCTAACCGATTCCTACAACAACTAAACTAACCAAAACAACTCCAAGATTTACCTTAAGAAATAGGACATGGATCCAAATCCTAGCATATACTAATAATCTATATGTAAAATGATCATAACTCACTCAAAACATGTTATATTTACAAGATTTTGGTCTTGTTGGATAGATAATTTAAGTACCTATTCAAGGACATTAAAATCATATAAATTTGACAAATTTTGACCCCTGAAAAATAGGCTGAAAGAAAAATAACGTAATTTTATCTTCAAAATTTCAATTCTAAAAGCTCTCTAACAAGACTCTATAAACTACCTTGACCCTTGAAAATGATTAACCCTATTCCTAATGCACAAATGAACTAGAAAATAAATTTGAAGAAAAGTCAAGAATACCAAAATTCACATCACCACAAATTGTGAAATTGACACTGGTTTAAGAATATGGGGCTGCAGAAATTAAGAGCACTAAACTACACTAATGTCATCGTTGACTCTAAGGTGGTAACAGGGTGGTTGGAGACTAATCAGGAAAGCTCACGGATGTATAGGCATTTGTTCAGTGAAGTTACAGATTCGATGAGGCAGCTAAACACAAAAACCAGTTGGGTTCCTCAGGCTATAAACAGTATAGCAGATGGATCGGCAAAACATGGAGCCAGAAAGGTCAATTTGTTTTGGGGAGTAGTGGTCTAAAGCGGACTTTTGTGTTATGTAATTCTGATGTGGCTAGCTGAGGCTGTCCACTGTTTGAACTTCATGTATGGTTCTGTTACACATTAATAAAATTCTTCTTGTTTGTTGCTGATTAGAAAAAAAAAAACAGAATATGGGGGGTTTCTTCTTCCATGCTTGCATCGGATGGAGTCCTGGGCTTCCTTTAGATTGAACCAAGTCTTCCTTAGCTGTATCAAACTGCTAGAAGTGCTTAGCTTCCACAACCATCTATTAGGTCCATGTGTGTGCAGAATCTGATAGACCATTGATAGGTATTTTCTATGGGATTTCTGATTGATGGTTCTTATCTGCAGCTGAACAAATATAGGTGAGAGTTGAGGCATAGCTGAGGTGGCATGGCTAAGTTGATGGCTTTTAAGAAAGGAAAAGAGAGAAGGCAATCAGCTATTTCTGGACCATCAGCTACTGAATTATGCTCTCTCCTGTTTGAGATCAAAGGAAACATCTCCTTGACTTCATTAAGGTAATAAGCCAACATCTAATGCCATCTACAAAAACTTCATTAACAATTGGTAATATTGATTGAGTTCCCTTCCCCACAAAGGGGACATCTGTAGATGGCTAGATGCTTTGCTATGTGGGTCCATGTAAAAGGTCAACCACCTCAGATTTAATCAGGTGCCGGAATCAGCTATAGGATCACTGTAGAGCCAAATTGCCTACCATCCCTGAAAAGGGAGATCCCACCAAACTTAGTGAGAGCAGGCTCCTGAGGAAGTTGTTGCCAAACTATAACTCACACTGACGATAGGAGAGTTTTGCCCCCAAGGGGGCACTGAGAGAAACTAAAAAATATCAATCACTTTCATCACTAAATCATTGTAGCTGATGCATAGTAAGCAAGTCTGTGGCCAGGATCCAAGAGCGAGGAGAAAGAGGACTTAACCTCTAATGTCTTCAAATGATACCTCCTTGCACTCAAAATCTACACTTTACTTCCCCCACCTCCCCTTTAGGAGTTAGCATAACTGCATGAATATAAGTGTCCCCAAGACCCTGGTTCCAGGGGTTTTCTATTGCTTTAATATCTTAGTAATGCAACCTAGTGCAGCTCATTCCAAGTCCAACAAGTCTTCAATAAGTTCTTGGAAATAATTTATTGGAAGGAAAGAAACTAGAAAACCTTTATTACAAAGAATGGTATATGACATTAATAAAAAATGGAAGCAGTTGTTTTCTTGGGGTTTGGGCATTTTAGAATTTAAGACACTGGCATTTTCCTACTTTCTATATTAAGATGTGGTAATTCATCATAATTTGTAAGGTTAAAAGGATTTTCCTTGTGCTATGATGTTTGTTATACTACAATGCACATTTTACATATCCAAAAAAGAAAAAAAAAGGAAAAGAGATATTTTTGCAAGTTCTATGCAATTATTTTTGTTCTCCTGATTGCTGAAGAATGTGGTTACTGAGTCTCATTTCTGTTGCTGTCAATCTCGCCTGTTTGCTTCTTTTATTGCCTTCTTTCATTTAACCACAATGTTCTTTGATAGCTTTGCCAGATTTGTAATTGAAATGTTCTTTCTTTTGTTGTAATATTCAATATTGTCTCAGGGAAGATATGATGACACAATTAAGGAATGCACTAAAGCATTGGAGTTGAATCCTATGTACATGAAAGCTCTGGTTAGAAGAGGAGAGACACATGAAAAACTTGAAAATTACGAAGAGGCCATTGCAGGTGTTTAAGGAATAAAAAAATATTCTTATATGCATTAATTTCTTATTATATTTACAAAACTAGTTTCTTGTTCTTCTTCAGTTCTTTTATAAAATTTTCAATTTTTTTCGTGTCATTTTCAATTTTTTTCTTCTTAGTAACTTCAATACCAACACTACCTAGAATTTCGTTGATTGGTAAACTTAACATGCTAACATTACATAGGTCAATTTTCTTGTGTTGCAATGCACAAAGACTCTCTTTCAATGTATTTTCTTTTCATTTTTTTTTTGTTTTCAGACATGAAAAAAATCTTGGAATTGGATCCTTCAAATAAACAAGCAATTATAAACACAAGGCGGTTGGAGCCATTAGCGGCAGAAAAACGAGAAAAGATGAAGGAAGAGATGATTGGTAAATTTATAGATTTTTCTATTACTTTTCTCTCATTGCTTTCCAATTTATATTTGCATCGTGGAAGAACACGCTTGAAGGAAATGACTGAAGTTTATTTGCTTTTGTTTGAAAAAACACAAAAAATAGAAAAGTAAAAAAATACATACATTATTATAAATACATAGATACATGCATACTTGCATGTTAGTTGATATAGTATCCTTTTGCCTCAGTTATGGATGATCTAATTAGACATTTATAGGAGGTCCCATGGTGTATGTTGCTTGCTGATGATAATGGTATTGATTGATAAGACTAAAGATGGGTTGAGTGCAAAGGTAGAGCAATAGTACGATGTTGGTTTTTTGATAAATAATGATATTTTATTATAAACTAGATAAAGTGTTACAGAAAAGTATTATAATAAAGCAACCCAACAGAGGCACGAGATGCAGCCTCCATTACAGATACAGAACTACAACTTAGCCTGAAAAAGTCCAGATTTATGCACCCCCATTTTTGCAAAATAATCAGCCGTCCCATTTGCTGACCTCCTTTTCCACTGGATATTAGCTATGATGTCTCTAATTAACCATTTACACCCTTTCATTGATTCCCCATAATTCTAAGTCACAGATTCTGGTTCCTTTAGCCACCCTACTACCAATTTAGAGTCACCTTCAATTAGCAATCTGTCATAGTTTAGGTCTAGCAATTTGTACCCCTTGCAAGACTGCTTAGAACTTGGCATACACTGCATCCCCAACTCCCAAAACATCTGAAAAAACAAAAAGAATGTGTCCTTTAGAGTTTCTAAAAACTCCTTCTATACCAGTTCGCCATGGGTTTCCCTAGATTGCTGCCATTGAAATTTAGCTTGATAAAACTGTCTTCTGGAGGTTTCCAATCTACAACTAGTATGTGTCTGTCCCTCACAGTAGAACTTCTTGTTACAGCTTTCCAATTCCTCCAAATATCATCAAAGGAGAATTCTGAGAATAGGGATAGAGATTTAGCCCAATGTATAGCCCTATTTACTATGCATTCCAACACCGCTTCATCCTTGTCATTGAAGATTCTACTATTCTTCTCTTTCCATCCTGTCCAAATCACAACAGCCTGGACACAGCTCCACATGAATTTACCTCTCCTCGACCAGCTAAAGGTCATAGGGTCAAAAAGGTTTCCAATCTATATGATCACACTCCACCTGTTACCAAAAAGACCAAAAATCTTTTCCTAGATACCTACAACAAAGGGGAAGGAGATTAGAAGATGGTAATGGTAATAACTTTCTCCATTTGCTTTGCAAAGGGTACACCAATTTGGGGAGATACACAAATAAGGTCTTCGTTTTTGCAAAGCATCTAAAGTGTTAATTTTTATATAAAAGACTTCCCAACACAGCCTCAACCATGGGAGGAATGGTTTTAGACCAAATTTCTTTCATAGGGAAAGGTTGAGGACCAGGGGTTGAACATAAAGAAGAGAAGAAAGAGGCACAAGAAAACACTCCCTTGGGATGAGGAGTCCAAATACGACCATTGACGAATTCATTAAAAAAGGCCATCTGATGAAGAAAAGTCAAAAAAAAAAAAAAAACAGAATCAAGAACATCTAGAAGTGAGACTGCCATATTGAACTCATGGTCTCTTAGATCTCTCCTGACCAAATTACAAATTCCAGTTAAACCCGATCAACGAGGAGTAGGACTCAAAACGATGTATTGGTTCCTTTTTGAACAAGGAATGGGAGTACAAGGAAGGAAAAAGATCTTTAAGGGTGGAGTTGCCAATTCAAAGGTCCTTCCAAAAGAGAACATTATCTCTAGAGAAAATGTCATACCTAATAAGGTTTAGAAACTTAGGAAGAACTCCACGGATGAACTTCCAAGGAGAAACCATAGTAGCCCTTGATGGTATAACATCCCAGCCATTGGTTGCACTTCCATGAAAAGTCCAAATCTCTCTCTCTCTCTCTCTCTCTCTCTCTCTCTCTCTCTATATATATATATATATATATATTAGACCTGTTCATGGGTCGGGTAGCCCGATGGCCCAACTCGTTATTAGTCGGGCTTGGCTAGACCCCAAGCACATATATTGGATAGACTTGGGGAGTTTATGTTGACAAGGTTGATATTGTTGTGCTGCCAAATAGTTGGGGCAACTTGTCTTAGCTGCTAGGGTTATACCCCAAGCACAGACAGTGGGTGTTTGGAAGAAACACTGAACCTAGACCAATTTTCAATTTTGCCTTGGACCTTGGGAGATAGATGGGCAAAATTGGAAGGTTACACATAACCCTAAACTTGATAATGATACTACACTAAGTAGTGGACCGGATTGCCTTTTCACGGGTTAAAATATCTGGGCATGTTGGGCCAATTTGGGAAACTACTTGAGTGGGTGATCATAGTGATAGCATCAACCCCTTTATGGAATAAAGTGAATATCGGGATTTACACTCTCTCTGATGGAAGCTTAAATTACCGGTAGTGGATTTCATTTGTGTTTGAAATCTGGTTTTGCAAAATATATTTATATGTTATATTACTATTTTATGAAAAAGGTTTACAAAAGGTTTTAATCCCGGGATTCATCCGAGCATAGAGTGTGACATTGCACCTTGTAGCTAAGGGAGAGGTCCTTCCTTGTTGGGCAATGTTCTGATGATTGTGGGCCGAGAGGTTAAGTGTAAGAGACTATTACGGGGCTGATTACCCGATGGGCTTTATCTCACATAAGTCTATTATCCTTGGGTCTTTATACAATGGTTGATCCAAGGATCATTTAGGTGTAAATGTTGGGCCCAGACTGAGCCCATGTGATTGGCTCAGGGGTTCAATGTCTTGGGCAGTGAATTCGGCCTAACCTCTACCCTCATGGACTTGTGTGAGACCTTTGTGGTGGTCCCACACCATACAAAATCAGGCTCAAAGTGTCCATGCAACACCTAGAGACGTGAGCCTTTAAAGAAAATGGGCCAAAGGCTCATTACTAATGAGATTAGTTTAGCTGTCAAGTTGTCATGTGATTTGGGTCGAAACTGGGCGTGGTTCTAGGTATCAAGCATCTATCCTCTTAAGAGGATAATGCTTATCTCTTAAAAGAGTCCAGATCCAAATCAGATTTGGATAATCTCCTAATTAGATTAGGAGAGTGCTCCATAAAAGAAGATTAAGAGGAAGAGGGCAGAAAGAACTTGTTCTCATCACTCTCTTGCTCTCTCCTCTTCTCTCTTCTCTCCCAGAAACCCTATCACGACCTAGCCATTGAAAGAATTGATTTTTACCAGTTTTCCCATTGTGCTTTTGCAAGAAAAACGTTGGGTAAATCAGGCTCACAAATCCCAGTTGATCCAAGGCAGTTGGATAACAGTTTTGCAGAAAACAGTGTTGCTGAATCGGCTTCTCATTCGCTGCGCCATTTTCAGTTGGAGGCTGGTTTTTGGGACTGATTTTGGGCATGAACTACCACTCTGGGAGCTGTGATTTGTGGACTCCGTATTAAGTACAATTAATTTTAAATTTGGTTTCAAATCTAGTCAGGTTCAATGCAAGATCGACTTAGAAATTTCAGTTTTCAAAATCACTGGGAAATCGGTTCCCAAGATGGGTTAGGAAAATTTTTGAAATTCGCCCAACCATCTAACATGGTTTGACCATCCATATGATGGATTCTAACCCTTCTTACACATTCCCCCCCCCCCCTCACTATCTTCTTCCTCTACTTCCCTCCTAGTCAGTACTCCACCATCAACATTCTCTTCAAAGTAACCTTATTGGCCTTTAATTTGTTCTAAATAATCACACACCAACCTCTTGATCCTTTCTCCTTGCCCCAAAATGTCAATCTCCCTAGTCGTTCTCTCCTTCCTTTTCTCACCAACTAACTTCCTTTCAAGACAAGCTACAAGCAATGGTTGGCAGTTTGTAGTATCTTCACAAATAGGGAGACTATTAGTACTAGCCTTAACCAACTTGACATGCATGCCTAGAGATTTAGGTTCTAAAGGGTTGCTAGGAATGGATACCAATGTTTTAAAAGTGAAAGACACAAAAAAAGCGGAATGACCATTTTGTGCTTGAAGTGCAAGGCACAAGGCGAGGCGTGTGCTTTTTTGAAGCATGTTAATAGATGTTATTTTATATATGTATGGTACCACAGGGGTACTTCTTATTTTTAAGTTGTACGGCCACCCTAGTATGAATAATAACATACTGCACGCCTGCAGTATTCTTTTGGGCTCTCAGTCCTCTCGTCTCTCCTCTTCTCTCTCCCTTTCTCTTGTACAACATGGTATCAGAGCAGGTTGTCCAGGCTTGAAAGGTGAAGTCGAGCAGTCTGTCTCTTTATCTTCCTGTTGTGTCCATTTGCTGTTCGGCTTCCAGCATGTAGAAGGTTTTGTTTTGAGGGTGACGGGTTCTCAGAAATTATCATCTGCTGTCCATCTGCTGTTCGGCTCCCCTGGTGTTCGACTGAAGTAACCTCTTTTTTTTTTTTCCTTTGTTCTCATTGACTGTTCGGCTGCCCTGATGTTGGACCTGTTCCAGGTCTACCGATTAGATGTGTGGTGAGCTTCACCTCTTCCTTTTCTTTCTGTTGTGGGGTTGTTTGATCCTTGTGCAACCGTAGGTCATAAGGACTTGTTTATGTGCTGCAACAGCAGTTTTGTTTTTGGAACCCTGTGAAACCGTAGGTCATAAGGACCTTGTTTGTGTGCTGCAACAACAGTTTTTTTTGGTGGACTGAAGGTCTGGAGGTGGCTGGTACCTTCTGTAATAACTCTTTGAGGCTGTGTTCCTGTTTTTTTTTTTTGGGTGTTGTTTTTAAATCTGGAATCATGAGTGGTGAAGATTCTGCTACATCTAGAGTTTCCTCAATGCTGAATGGAATGAGTGGGGTGTAGACCTATCCTTTCCCATGGTTGTTGCCCCTCTTGATGGTTTAAATTACTTAGAGTGGTCAAGAGGGATCAAGTTGTACATCACTGCAAGGGCGAAGATGGGTTATATT